AATGTCAATATTGAATTTTCAACTTTCTTGAAAAGAATTCATTGAGATATATGTGTGTCAATACACCCGTCATGTGGATCATTTCGTTATTTTATGGTATTTATTGATTCTTCTATTAGATAGTCATATATTTGCCTACTTTCCATTAGGAATGTAGAATTCGTTAAACTACTTGCTCAAATCATAAAGTTACGAGCGCAATTCTCTGATTGTTCAATCAAGACTATTCATGTTGATAATGCTCGTGAATTTAGATCACAAGCATTCGATGATTATTGTATGTCATTTGAGATTGTACTTGAACATTCAATTGCTCATGTCCATACAAAAAATGGTTTAGCGGAGTCATTTATTAAACGCTTACAACATATTGTTAAACCATTACCTATGAAAATAAAATTCTCAACTTCTATTTGGGTCATGCTATATTACATGTTACATCATTGACTCGTATTAGATCAATTGCCTATTATCAATATTCACTTTTATAACAAGTATTTGGTATTGATATTTCTCACCTACGAATTTTTAGTTGTGCTGTCCAAATCCTTATTCACCCCCCACAACATACTAAATTGAGTCCCAACGAAGAGTTGAGATTTATGTGGGTTTTCATTCACCATATATTATTATGTATCTTGAATATTTAACGGGTGATTTATTTACTGCATATTTTGCAGATTTTCATTTTGATAAAATAACTTTCCTAACTTTTGGGGGTGGGGGGGAATTACATCATGAAAGATTAGGTAAAATTTTTTTTTTGAAATGAAATAACTTTATCTCACTTCGATCCCCACTTTAATCAATGTGAGTAAAAGGTTGAAAATTCATTCAATTACAAAGAGTTACAAATCAATTACCTGATGTATTTGTTTCTAATAAAAAAGTGATAAAGTCATATATTCCAGTAAAAAATATTTCATTAAAAATTGATATCCTTGAAGGACAATCTACTGTAGCAGATGAATATCAAGTAGGTCAGGAGCGTGGCCGATCAATTAATTCAAATGACTCTGTACTTTGAAAAAGAAAAATACAAGAGAAAAATCAACGAAAAATTTCGAAAGAAGTAACATTAGAAAATATTAATCAATTAAATATTGAAAATATGGTTCTTGAACAACCACAATTGTTCGAAAATAATGAGATTTCAATAAATTATATATTATCTCATAAATTATGGAAATGAAGTAATGTTGTTATAGATAATATTTTCGCCTTTAACATGACTCTTGATATTATGTAAAATGAGGATCCTAAATCACAGTCTATTAAAGACTGTCAAAATAGAAATAATTGGCCAAAATGGAAATAGATAATACACGCAGGATTAAATTCCTTAGAGAAATGAAAAGTGTTTAGACCTGTAGTTCGAAAACCTGAAAATGTAATCCATGTAAGATACAAAATGACTTTTTGTACGTAAGAGAAATGAAAATAAGAAATTACAAGATACAAAACCCAACTTATAGTTCAAGGTTTCTCACAAAGACTAGAAATTGATTATGAGGAAATATATTCTCCCATAATGGACATCATCACTTTTAGATTCTTAATTAATTTGACTGTGTCACAAAAGCTTCATATACGCCTTATGGATGTTATAATTGCCTATTTGTATAGTTCACTTGATAATGATATGTATATGAAAATTCCTAAAAGACTTAAAATGCCAGGAACAAACGATACATGTCCAAGAATAATGTTACAATTAAATTGCAAATATCATTATATGGATTGAAACAATCTGAACGCATGTGGTATAATTGCTTTAGTGAATATTTATTGAAGGAGTGTCATAAAAATAATGATGTCTGCTCATATGTTTTCATAAAAAAATAGATATTTGATTTACAATTGTGGGAGTTTACGCTTGAAGAGCTCAAAAAATTCTGATTATTTGAAAAATAAATTTGAGATGAAAGATTTGGGAAAAATCAAATTCTATCTTGAGTTGTAGATTGAACATTTTTCAGGAAGATTATTTGTTCATCAATCTACTTATACAGCAAAAGTCTTAAAGCACATTTATATGGATAATGAACATCCATTGACATTATCTATGGTTGTTCTTTTCACTTGATGTGAAAAAAAATCTATTTCTTCTACTTGAAGATGGAGAAATGGCTCTTGGTCACGAGGTATCACATTTTAGTGTAATTAAAGTATTAATTTATCTTATAAATTGTACTCGACCTGACTTAGTTTTTTTTTTTTTTGTAAATATCCTTACAAGATATAACTTTACACCAAATCAAAGATATTGGAATGATGTTAAACATATTTTTCATTATCTAAAGTGTATTATTGATTGTGATTATTTTATTCTCAAAAGTCAGGAACTGCTTTAGTGGGATATGCAAATGCAGGTTATTTCTATGACTCGCATAAAACTAAATCACAAATAGGATATGTGTTTATACGTGGAGGAACAATTATATTGTAGAGATCTGTAAAGCAATCTTTAAAGGTAACATCTTCAAACCATTCTGAAATTGTTGCAATCCATGAAGCATGTTCAAAATGTGTATGATTGAGGAACATGACCCATTATATCCAAATATCATATGAGTAAGTATTCCTGATTCTGCTCTATAAATATAGGGTTTTCATTTTTAATAAAGTACATGCAAGTCTATTGAATGCTCTTTATTTTCTTATCTTTTCTCTCTTTTCATAACACATTTAACTCTTATCAAAAATAGTTTTTATTTATTTATTTTTCCAGCCACAAGTATAAAACTCATTGCGACTAATTCGGTGAAGAAGCCAACAACAACACATTGCGATACGTTCCCATTATCGTAAAAGCCTGCTTTGGTCCATTTCGGTTAAGAGAATTTTTGTAGCTTGTTAATCACAATTGATGAACAATTACTTATAATTACAAAGAACTTTTCAAAGAATGAACTATTCAACACATTTCTCGAACACACGGCATTTATCTACGGACATAAGCATTCTCCCTCACTCCCTTATTTTATGTAATATTTGCAATTTAATTAATGTCTTGATTATAGAAAAAAGACAAATCACACGAAAGAGTAGATATAAAAATTTACTCTCTTCTGTCTAATTTTTTTTTTGTTGGCTAATAAGTCCTGCAAAATTACTTTACAATGTTTGAAGCTTTGCTATTTTCTCAAGACTTTACTTGCTTTCCTTCTTATGTAGTTATTGCTTTATTTTCAGTATAGTGTAAAAAAGAGGAGTTTGGCTCTGGTGAAGACGAACTCCCTACTCTAAAAGATTGATCGGGAAGCGGGGGGAGGCTCTTGCGGAAGCTTTGCCGGCCAACTACATAAGATATTCCATTCCAGTCCTCCCTAGCTCTTTGCTTTCTTGGGCAAAGAATTTTTGTTGATAATTAGTTAGGGGGCAAAAGATTGATATATTTGATACATGTCGTTAAACAATAACTCATAATTAGTTGAGAACAGGAGATAAAACTCTAAAATTTTAACTTCTTTTTCTTCTTTTAATATGTTCGACTATTCCTGAAGTGTCGGAACATATGAATTTCAGTCTATTGAGAAGAGAGATGGTTGGACCCTATACCATGCAAGTTTTTTCTTCTTGAACATAGAATTTGTTTGGTAAGTACCGAAAATGTCGTGTACTAGAAATTGCATTAGTTTGACCTTAGGGGCATTGCAATGTCGTGTGAGAATAACTAAGTAAATAGTTTTTCTCCATGTGGAAACTTTGAATTGGTACAACCAAGATTTGTTGCTCTGTCATTTTCACTTATGTATGCTAATTAACCCTTATTGTTATTGACTAAAAATGCAAGCATCACTGCCATTATGATTAAATTTAATTTCATTATGATTAAATTTAATTTGTCATCACTTCACATACGAGAGCTGTGCATGATATGGAAATCATGATTAAGGGTTTGGCTGAGCTCCTTCTCTCTCTCTCTTTTTTTTCTCTTTTTTTTTTTTTTTTTTGGGGGGGGGGGGGTTTTTGGGGATTTTGTAATAGTGATTTTTTTTGAAAGATACGTAATTAGAAAGCATGGAAAAATTTTGGGTTTATGTTAAAATTATTTTACCGGAAGAATGTATGGTTAAAAGTAAATCTGAGGGAAAAGGAATTTTTAAAGAACGTGCCCTAAACATGAACTAAATTTCTTCGTCGAGCTCTCGGTCATAGTTTTTTGGTCTCAAAATTCTTGTAATACAAGATTCTTTCTATTCACAGTGTGAGTTTGACAACTTAGGTTTTAATAACTTGTGAAAGAGATTATCATAATCCCGTGATTCAATCAGATGCAAAATGTAAAAAGTCCAATTTCATGGTTACTGGAAAAGGGTTTTCTATTATTTTTATTTTTTTTTCTTTTCTGCTTAAATGAAATAAAGGTTAATTGATCTTTTCCTTTCTTATTTGATTATGATATGGAGTTTTAAGAATACTGATACAAGATATTACTCAGCATCTATAATTGCATTTTTTTAGATAAAATAATTCAATATAATAACGTAATAGACAAATGTCATCAAGGTCAAGTTGCATAGCCCAATTTTAAATAAATATGTAGCCAAGCCTACACGTAATGGCAGGTTGATAATCCACATATATATAAATACATTATTATGTCCAGCACTAATATTAGCCTTGACTAAGGTTAATTAATTTACTTGTAAGTAAATTTTTAATTATTTTTTCTTGACGAAAGTTAAAAATAAGTAAATTATGACAATAAGGTGAGAAATTACGTATAAGTAGTTAATATTTTACTTCTCAGACTTTGTAAGACGAATAGAAAAGGTTGACCCAGGGATATACAACTGGGGAAAAATTAATCTTATTTCCTTTGTAAAAGCAATTACTTTTCTGTTGATGGCTGCTTAATTTTTCTTATTCAACACTGGTGGAGGCATAGACCAAGAAACCTTCTATAACAGAAAACATTGTTTGAAGGGTCACCCTTGCTTTTTCAATAATCTAATCCACTGCTTCAATATATATATATATACAAACATTAGTCTATACAAGCAACACACACAGAGAGAGAGAGAGAGAGAGAGAGAGAGAGAGAGATGAAGACATGGAAAGTGCTGTGTTTGTTAATGGTAATGATCCTTCTGATGAGAGGAGAAGGGCAATTGATGGAGAATTTTTACAGTTCAACTTGTCCAAATGTAGAAGCCATTGTTCAGCAGGCTGTGGCCACGAAGTTTAGCCAAACATTCGTTACAATGCCGTCCACTCTTCGTCTCTTTTTCCATGACTGTTTTGTTGAGGTAAGTAGTTATTCTTGACTAAGAAAAAGGAAATTTCATATACTAGCATGTACCAAACATGACCGTCATGTCCTAAAACCTGTAAAGATGTTTACTTTTCTAAGTTGTGTAAATATCAGATTACAAAGTAGGACAAGGTAACTTCCCAACAGATGATTCAATGTTTACCGCAAAATATTAGAAAATACTGACAATTTCTTATAGAGATCATAGGAGCAGTTTGAATATCCAAGTCTATACAATTTCATGATCTCATATTATATCTCAAAGTTTTTCAACTGAATCAAAGGATGCCACAGACATTAAATTATGCATGAATATGGTTAATTGTCTAAAACTTTGATCACAATTTTAATGATGTTTATGCACACAGTTGAGAAATGAGAAAGGCAAATATCTGATGTTGAAATAAGTGAAATTCGCTGACATGTGTTACCGTTAAAGAATCGAGCTGTTCCGCTGGATTCATTTGATCATAAATAACTTTATCTGTTCTGGTTTGTAGGGATGTGATGCTTCTGTTCTTATAGCTTCACCAAATAATGATGCTGAAAAGGATGCTCCAGATAATCTTTCCCTGGCTGGAGATGGCTTTGATACTGTGATCAAGGCAAAACAAGCAGTCGAGGCACAGTGCCCCGGGGTAGTATCATGTGCAGACGTTTTAACCATTGCTGCTCGAGACGTGGTTGTTTTGGTAATAAAAAAATGTCCTTCAACATCATCTCAATAAATATTTTCTTTAATTCATCGACTCTCTTGACGTTCTTTGACTTCGTTCTGTATTTGGCAAATTTGTTCAGGCTGGAGGCTCTCCTTTCGCCGTGGAACTTGGAAGGCGAGATGGACTCATCTCTAAAGCATCTCGAGTTTCTGGAAACTTACCAGAGCCGAACTTTGATCTCAAAACCCTTAATACCATGTTTGCCAAACACAATCTCTCGCAACTTGATATGATTGCACTGTCAGGAGCTCACACTGTTGGCTTTTCCCACTGCAATCGTTTTGCAAACCGCATTTACTCATTTTCAACATCGTCCCCTGTCGACCCAACCCTGGATCCTAACTATGCACAGCAGTTGATGCAATCCTGCCCTCAAAACGTGGATCCATCCATAGCTATTAACATTGATCCTGTTACTCCTCGAACATTCGACAACACATACTTCCAGAATCTGGTCGGAGGGAAAGGGTTGTTCACTTCAGATCAGGTTCTGTTCACCGATCCAGCATCCCAACCTACTGTAAATGATTTCGCGAGTAACCCGTCCGTCTTCAATGGAGCTTTTATCACTGCAATGAGGAAGCTTGGCAGGGTAGGTGTTAAAACTAGAAATAAAGGAGAAATAAGGTTGGATTGTACAAAGTTCAATTCATAAATCAATTTCCCACAAAAAATTTAAAATAAAAACATTAGAGTACACCCCAAGTAATACTCTGGACAATAATGTATTAGATTGTTAGGTTTCCATTTGGTGCAGACAATCTGTGTTCTGGTTTTTTGTCATTCAATTATCACGTAAAAAACCAGTGTTGAAAATAATGTTGTTCATGTAAAATTCATATCTGTAGAATACAAAATACAAACAATTTTTTTCCTAGTTCAAGCTTTTAGATAAGGTGGTTTAATGTGATATCTTATTCCTCGTACTATGTGATTTTCGGGCAATTTAAAGGCAAATGCCAAAAAGCTGTTTACAGATTGTAATGAAGTAATACTGTTCGAACAGGAAGTACAATCTTGTAAACCATAATGTAGGACATGAAATTGAAGAATATTTGAAACAGTAGAGTAACAATAGATTTGTAACTGGCCTTTGGAATCAAAATTTCTCCAAAGATTTTCAATTAGTGAAAAATACAGACAACAATTGAACATAAAACTGTAAATATAGGCCGTCTCTCAATCTCTCGGGACACCCTTTGACAATCTAATTGCACCAGCAAATATTATTCGTACAATAGTAGATCAGGGTATGCAGCAAGTAAAAGTCATGTTAAAGGGTCCTAATCACAACATTACTTGTTATTTGAAGTGGCATACTATTAACTATTATACAAGATGTAACCCTCTTCTCTCTCTAGCTGAAAGATGTACCCTTGGATTGTTCTCCCCCACAAATACTTTTTAGGAACGCTGCTAGTCAATGAATTTCTCACATGCTTGTAAAGGCACAAGAAAGTTCTAGATCTTCCATAGACAATCTTTGTCCGATACACAAGAATCATGCATCAAACAACTGCAACAATGCAAATTCCAGACATTATCAAGGAAGTCAAGAAGTAGCAAATGGCACCTTCTCACTCCAGAGGTTCTTAAACAGAGACAAAACTCGATAAAACTGATTTCAAACTTTGTTGTCTGTGATGGAGGCCGTGAGCTTGCTTCTCTGCTTCACTGTCATATATATATGCTGCTGGCAATGAGACCTGAGAATATTAGGGAACCTGCAGGGTTTAGTATATGTGGTAAGGTAGCTTAGACAGCATTGGACAATTTCAAGGAAGAAAAAGAAGCATGTTTGGAATTGCTTAACTTTTTCTTTAAAATGGGCATACATACTTTTTATTCTCAAATTCCATAAAACCCACTGTTTATAAGCACTTAAAAAATGCAATAACTAAGAAGCACTAATGTATTATCTATTGTAATGTCCAACACAATCTAATGTTACATAGCAAACACCCACAAAAGGTACACATCTGGGAAAAGGTGGCTTGAAATTTACCTGACAATTCTCTTAGATAAGTAACCGCCACCAATGCTGCCCTAGAAGTTCCAAATGCTAATCAAGGAAACAAGCATGTGGGTATTATCATATCCCAATGACTGGCTTATCTGACCCAAATTATCAATTACAGTCAAACCAGAACCAGAACCAGAACCAAAAAGGGAGAAAAACATAAGCCAAAAATCTGTCATTATCAATACTTCCATCAAGGTAAAATCCTCCCCTCAATGTGGCCGCATTTTAATTCTTTCAGCTCCTGCTGCAGCCGCTTGAGCTAGTTTTGCTTGCAATTGAACATTTTTATTATTATTATTATTATTATTATTATTATTGCCTCTCTGAAGCTGGAAGCAAGTCTACTTCATTTGGCTTTTCATCTTCAACCTTGTTGAATATGATTTCCTAAGCATCACTTATGGATTTTCCAGGCTCTTTTTTATGTGACTCGAGTATAAGTGCCTCTTCTGCTGGTGGTACTCTCAACTCCCCAGGAAAACTCTTTTTGACGGGTATCACAATGGGGAATCACAATAGAAAAAATCAAATTGTTGTGAAGATTATAACAACTGTGTGGCCCAAATCAACTAGATCCTGGGCAACCGTTACCCCCAGCAAATAATCAGCCAAAAGAAGGCATTTGCTATAGATAATCGAGAAACTAAGGCATTCTGACGATCAAATTTGTTTGTGACCTCCAACGGTTCGGACAATGAACATTAGAGCAATGAAAACCATTGTTGGCCCGATTGCAACCATAAAAATGAGTGAAGCATGATCCGGGAATGCATCACTGTGTATATCTGAGTCAAAATTGCCCCAGCCAACCCGGCAAAACCCTTTAGTATCCCACGACAGGATCCTGGCTTTTGGGGAAGTTTTGCACACAAGATACAAGTGCGGCATTGTTGAAGCATGTTTGCCATTTGTTCCCACATATATTAGAATGCACATCTGCATGTGAATGGATAAAGTCAGTCAAATAATCAATAATTTCACTTCTATTTATTATTCTTTCCCAAAATATAATAAGTCTATAATTACCACGAGACGATCATATTCCTAATTCGAATTCATATGGCTAACATGCATTGACATTTAGAATTATCACACATGATCGTATACGCCACAAATAATATTCCTAATATTTATTGTTCAGGTGTTCCAATAACAATGTTCTACCTACCGTGAGTTTTCTAACACTACGAATAATCAATTTATTATCCTAATAGTGCACAAACATTAAAACAATATGAATATACATATTAATGGAATCACAACGCAAGAACTAATATAAAAATATGGGGTCTTGAATTAAAAAACTAAGAATCAAACATTTTTGTCATCTATCCAATACACAAGAAATTTAACCTAACATCTTATTGTATGAAATACATAAAAAATAAAAGAAAGTTATCACCCGAATAATTAAAATATAAAGAGAATCTGGAATCCTTTACTAATGCCTTCAATTTCGGATCCAGGCGATGAAATCTTCATTTTTCAATGTATTTCTCTCTATTTCTCCTCAAAGTCGGCTTGCAATCTAATAGAGACTAGGTTTGGATAAGTTCTCCTATTTATATGATCCCAAAAAGACTCCTTACCAAAATAAAATAAGGAAACCTGAATTTTTTCGCGTTTAACCTTCAGGCGTGCGCCTACTGTATTTTATGGTGCGCGCTTTAGTGATTTGGGGTGCCGAACTTTTGGAATTGAGACATGTGCCTCGCCTGTAGGCAAGGGCATGCACCTTGGTTGCTTTTAGGGCCAAGTATGCAACGTGATCCCTGAACTTTCTCCAAGGTCTGTTCTCGTTTTTTCTTCACTCTTTTCTTGTACCATTTGCTTATTCTTCATTCTAATATAGTTCCTATATTTCGAATCTTCATTTTGCATCCGTGCCCAACATTTGAATTGTTGCATTTTAGTCCTCGAACTTTATATTTGATGCAAAGTTGCCCTTTTTCTCGTTTATTTTCCTTATTCCCACATCTTCCGTCGATTGTTACCTACAAACAATATATAGCCCCCGTTTGTTTCTCATTTTTGGAAGAACGAGAATGAAAAATATAGCCATTACGAGCCCCACACAAGAGATAAAAATTTAAATTTAGTGACTTGATGTGATGGATAAAGGTGATATTTTTCATTTTAATGAGGAAATAAATGGCTCAAACAAGGCCTGTATAAATTTAGTCTTAGCTAAACCTGATTACCCAAATCAATTCAAGAAAGATAACTCCATGGAAAGATTAAAAATTAAAAATCAAAGGGGAAAAATTAAATTGTTCAATACTCACTGCCCACAGTGGCAAAACCGGTGCTCGACCAGTGACAATAAGCGAGACCAAGCCATATCCAGCAAAATTCTGAATAGCACCAATAAGAAGAGCGGCCCAAGGTAAAATCTCAGATAAACTTCCAGCCACGAATCCAACACTATCTCCCAAATCCGTAGCCACCCCCAATCTTCAAACTGCTTCTGATTATAGTTTAAAGAACTTTTTATTGTGGGTGAAATGCTATCAAATAAATACCCAATCCCCGCACAAGATTGTATCCACATTGCAGCAACAAAAACCAGCCATCTGTATTCTGTTGTTGAACAATGAAGATAATCTCTCCTTCAAACCGGACACCGTCAATTCACCAACTTTCCAGTAGATCTAGCACTCAAGATGTATATAGAATAAACGTAAAAAGCCTATATATATTGGGTTTTTCTTGGGGTATTTTTTTTTTTATATTTATATTTATTTATTATTATTATTATTATTTTTTTTTTTGCGGGCACACATATGAATATTAATGGGGAAATGGTATTTCGGGATTAATGGAGAAAAATCAAGGATATTTTGATTTGCAATGGAGTTTTTGTTGGCTTGATCGATATAAAACAATAAGAATCAGTGGAGCATTGATGAAAATAATTTGTGATCTCTGTCCGAATCATGTTGAAGCTGCCATTGTCTTTCTTTATCCTGTGACATACCCATATTCCTGCGTTGCTCAAAAAAACGTGGGTAGGTTCATGTTTTCTAGTCATTTTAGGTACTTTTATTACTTGTATTTTATTTTATTTACTTATTTGGTTATTTTTGATTGAAATGAGTTTCAACACAAAAAATACATGGGAAACGTTTCTTTACCATATATTTTTTTCCTTAAAAAATGAATATATTATGAATCATGGGGATTAATGAAGAAATATTTACCGTATAAATAATTCAAGTAAATCCCATCATAACTTGACAAATTCAGCCTACAACTATCCACTTTAGCAAACCTAAATTTTGCTCGAATTTCTCAAACCCTGACAATGGAGGAAAGAGGTGCTGCAAATCGAAGTGGATTTGGCAGTGACGACCTTGGTGGTAATAGGGGAGGTCCCAGTGACCACCACTTCGGTATGTAGATGGTTTCACCGTGGATCATGAAGGAAATGGAATTGAAAAAGCTTCTTAGTATTTGTTGGCAAAGCCTTCTGAGTTTGTAATTCCTTCTTTAAAAATGTCATGTGATATTATTATAAACATTTCGAGCAAAATGATGCTCCAAGGCTCTTCATGTATCTAGTGTTTTGCACCATTCATCAGTTTTCTGGAGACCAGATGACTAGACAAAGCTTGCTAGTTTTTGAAATCGTCATCATTATTTATGCCTTCCCTTTTCTTGTTTTGTCAGTCATTTCTGATTGTCATCGACTTTCCAGTATCTTTGTCTATTTGATTGCAATAAGGGCTTGACAATGGATATGATGGAGACATAGCTTTTGCTAGTTCTCTACAGACTTAGGGAATTTTATACTTAATTTGAGTTAATTTTGTTTATTTCAGCAATGGACTTGTTTGAAACAACTGGAAAGGAAG